TCGGCCTTTTCGTTGCCTCGTTTCGATGCCTCGTAACGATTCGTTACGACGACGAGTCGCGGCCGGGACACGTAAAACTCTTGGTAACGCGACGGCGTAACGCATGCAAATTCCCGAACAAATGCGTAATTAGCGTGTCCCGAACCCACCACCACCACCGTGGAGACGTGTCGACCTGGAATCGTTCGGATCGAGGGGTATATAACGGCGTGTACGCGCGCGCGGAGAGTTGTTAAATCAACGAGAGACGATTCTCGATCGACTCTCCCTCCCCGTCTATTGTTACGTACGTGCCGTTCATGCTAATGTTTCCCCCGCAAATCGAATGTTTTACAGGCTCATGCATGTTCATACGCGCCGGGGGAACAACGACGCCCCTTGTCACGCGCATATTTATTTCGAGGCGCCGAGATTTTCGGCTCCGCGTTTTCCATTATCCATTATCCACCGTCGAGAGTCAATTATATCCACCGATAACAATCTCTCCCCTCTTCCCGTCCTCCACTAAACCGCGTCGTTGGAACGCGTCGAACGGCGAATTATACGTGGGAGGGAGGCCACCACTGGACGAATCCATTAATAACCGGAATCAAGTGAAATTCAAACTGGCCGCCGTTCCGATGCTGAATCACCGGTATGATAAACGAGAGGAGAGGCTTTTCGGAAAGTAGCGAAGGTTTTAACCGGCGCTGGAACACTCGCGGTGACGTTAAAATATAGGGGTCGCGAAACCGGGGTTATTTAAATCCCCCTCCCTCCGTTTTTTCGAGTCTCCTTCCCGTCACCAGTGTGACGACACGACGAATACGTGTAATAATATCCGCGGTGTTGGGCCAAGAGGGATCGATATCGATTACACGCGAGCAAGGCCAAGGGAGGTCTATGTAGAAATGCCTGTTCTCTCTCTTTCTTCTCTCTTGCCGTTCACACACGGCGGGGGCCCCTCGAACTCGCCCCTTTGCCCCGTTGTTCGGCCCGGCTTCATTAACCGGGGCACGCTAATTAATCGAGAGACGGTTGCCAAGCGAATCAAGATGGCAACGAAACCGTTTGTTCCCGGTTGGGAACGGGCCGAAACTGTGGGTCGAAGCTACGAAGGCGCCTTTGCGTCGCCCGACCATCTGATATTTCCGTTTCTACCAGCGGCCAATACGATACCACCGCCTCGCTTGCGGTATTTCGATGCTGATCGTCGCTCGCTCGTTACTTTCGCGATTCGGAAGCCAAAGGGAGAGACCGCAAGCACAGTGGTCCCTAATGGTTACGTTTAATCTCCAACCACTCTGAAATTTACGGCTCCTCTATATGGGAAATTGTCGAAATTTTCCAAGTTCGATCTAAAAACCGTCATCGATCTAATCGCGAATAGTCGAACGGTGTCGAGTAATAACAGAATACCGTTGTTTTAATCGGTATACAACGAGTCATAAAGCGAGTATACGATTGCTTCGCGTATAATACCGGGTTTCTCGAGAATCTCGAGGTAATTTTCAACGAAAAGCTTTCGCTTAATCGCTCTCTCTCCCCCTATCCGAACGTACGCCTCGGCGGTTCACCTGTTAATTGGAAACTGCAACGTTGTATCGCGCTCGATTAACGATAATTCGCGGATACGATTTGAATCGAGTTGTTCGATCTTTGGATTCACTTTGCGGCGAAATAGTGTTCGCACTATTCCTATTTATTCTTTAAAACGTAATATACGGTAATATAACGTCGGAATATCGTTATTTCGCGTATCAAGGGGATACGAAACCCGTATTTTCGTATATAATCGCGACGACGGTAAAGAAATTTCGTATAAATGGATCTCGTATCGCGACGCGGGAAACGAGTTTTCCTCGTTAAGGTTATACGTTCTTCGCTGGTGGTGTAAATATTATCGTCCGAAAATACGAGTGGCACGAAGGAACTCGTAAAACGCGCCAAAGTTTGTTACTTCGCGTCACAATCTCATCATCGCGGCACATTCCTGAAGCTGGAAAGGATAGGCCGGTAGGAAGATAAGCCGTCCACCGAGACGTCGTCGGAGCCGAGACGTTTACGAGGAATTTCCAGGGACGCGAAACAGGGTTGGAGGGAAATGGACGACGTCATCCCCCTCGTTGCGAGCCGACAACACGAACGACACACGAGTTGGGTCATTGCACGAGAATCGATCGAGTGCCGCTCGTCGTACGTACCTCCCCCCTAGAATTTAATTGACACGATGCTCTCCTCGCGATTCTAATTGCCAACCTTTTCCTTCTCCCTCCTCCGTGCGGGAAAGTTTGAGAGTCGAGAAGACCGATTCGAATCTTAAGCACGATCCCGAAGGATCTAATCCCGAGAAGAAGAGAATCGGATGGAAGCATCTTGATTTCGTAGACTGTATAATTCAAAATCCTCTCCCTCTCTCGAGTTTCTCTCTTTAAGTAGATTACGTCGAGCATTAGCGAGTTTACCGTATTCGAGCAGATAGAGAGATTCCCAAAACTATCGGGCAACGGAACAGTCACGATCCCTCTCCCTCTCCCTGGATAATAACATCCGTAACGAAAGGGAGGGAGTAAGTTAACTACGACATCGGCGAAATTAATCGACGTTATCGGGTATCGATGAGTGGTGCGCCCCCCTCGCCCCCCCTGCTCGTGACTCATTTTCGCGAGGAACGCCGAGGAGGAGATGAGATCATCGAGAGGGGTGGGGGCGGAGTGGGGGCACCACGCCACCCTTGGCACCCGTCGATAGCCGACGATCCCGCTCCCAATTCCATTCGAAACGTACGTCGATCGTTATTACATTTCGTAAAGCCACGCGCGTTTCCCACTATCCTCCAGGATTCCATTAATTGGATCCGGGGTCGGGTTACGGGTTTCTGTTCCACGGTTGCTGAATCAGAGCAACGGTGTAAGTAGAGCGGGTGCAACGCGCCGGAAACCTATGGTTTCCCCCTACCTACCCGGCAAAGGGGAGAAGTAACATCCCCCTCCGCGACTAACAGAGCTGACAGCCTTTGTCGCGCGATTCTTCGACAAGGCTCTAATAATTGTATATATATATATGTTTCTTTTCTGTCTATCGTTTCTTTCTTCTCGCGTGCCTTGGAAATTTTATCAGGGGGGGTGGTGAGATGATTGCTCTTCTCGTGAGCAACCCCTTTGGCTGCACGAAAAGCATTTATAGAGGGAGGCCACGCGTGTTTGAAGGCCGTATGAACGTGAGAAACGGAAGAGGATCCTCTGGCTTCTTTCTTCTCCCTACTCGTTTCGCACAAATTCCCCATTCTCGAAAAAACAAAGAGGAAAAGAACGAGTAAGAGAAGAGTTGGCCGCAGTCTCGCGGTTTTATCGAACATACAGGACGTCGCCTCCCTTAGGAGCTGCTTGGGTTTCCGATAAAAGGGAGAGGCCGCGGTTCGGTCCCGGCGAAGAGAAAAGCGCCTCCTCCGACCCCTGCTCTCCTGCTTTCGTCCTCTTTGAAGACGTATGAAATTCCTCGCCTCGCATCGCTCCGCTCATGTACGCGTGAAACGAAAAACGACTTTGTTCGGCGAGGGACAATGACGACTGAGAAAAGGGGGAGAATCTCTGCATCTCCCGAAATCTCGGGAGGAGGGAATCACGTTCCTCGAGACGATACATCATCTCGGTTGGCTTTTATTTCCCGTATTCCTTGCTGGCAGCCGGAAAAACGCGTGTCGAGAAAGTGGTCGAGAAATAAGGGTAGGGAGGAAGAGTGGAGGAGGAAGCTCCGTCTAGCTCTCCGGATTGCTAAGCTCTCCGGCTGAATCCATTAGCTCGCGCCCATTAATAACCCCCGTAATGATGAGCGATGAGCCACGATGAGCGAGAAGGAGGAGAAAATCGTGGCCGACTCGTTTCCTAGCGCGACCGAAAGGGGTTGGTTGGTTGGTGCTCGACTTACGCGATTCCATCGAGACGCACACGCTCGTCAACGAGGAAGCCTTTGATAAATACTGCTTTGCTTGGACGCCAGCCAAACTCGAGCAGCGTAGCGCGATATTCCACCATCTCTCTCTCTCTCTTCGTTCTCTTCTGGAGGAGGAGTTCGAGCGGTGTAACCCGTGTCTCTACTGGAAGGGAACTGGAACTGGAGAGGTCCGCGGCTATCTATGCATCTTCCTCGAAACTTCCTTTCCGCGAAACGATCGTTGAAATTGAAAATAGAATTTTCCACGGTCGCAGAAGGGCCGTAACGTTGGTTGCTTGGCCCCTCGCCAACGAAACATGGACGAGTGGAGGATAATGGGGAGGAGGAGGGGGCGGCGGTTTATCGGATACCGCGTTAAATCGGCAGTCCCAAAGCGATCTTCCTTTGAATCCATCTCCCTTTTCACCCGCGCCTCAGGTAAATGAGTCTCGCGCTCACAATGCCTCGGTCGATCGATCGATCCGCGACAATGGGCCAGGCCTGGGATGGGACGGAAGTTTCGCCCACGCGAAAATCACTTTTCCTTTTCACGGAAGGGGTGAACCGTCGACACCCCTTCTCTCGCCCCTTTCCCCTTCCCTCGTGCCTCGTGGCGCAGGCCAAACACGCGTCGAAGCGTGTGATACGAAACGTTTCTCTCTTTTGCTTTTCACATTTTTACACGATTAATCCTTACTTGCTTTTTGGGGAAAACGGACGCGTCGCGAAAGTTTTCGTAAGTCGATGTTACGACCACGTTGAAAAGCGGCCAGCGATTTTTCGAATCCGTCTACACGGGCGAAGTTGGCGAAGAATTACTATCGACCAAGTTCTTCCTTATCGCGAATTCCTGAAAGTTTCAACGATAGTGACGAGAACGTTCGTTGGGGCGGATCGATTAATCCGAACGAACGCTGCCTCGGTGCACGTGCTTCCAATGTTGAATCGTATTCACCTTGATGGAAAACGTGGACATCGAAATCTAGAAATTAGAATATGAATAGCAACCCCTACCGGATAAATTATATATTCGGTGATGGCGATTGGAACAATGAATCGTCTAACGAAGGATCTTCCTTGTTTTCCAGATGATCGATGCGTCGTACCACACGAATCCATCGCTTCAAAGCACCGCCCTCATCATCACCTGCGCGGTGGTACTTCTGCTGATGGCAGCGATCGTGTCCGTCGTTTTTTGGAAGTGAGTGCTTAAATTTTTTTTAATTTATTAACAACAATAGTAAAAACGATTATTAGTTAGAATGTAAAATAACATGGATCAAGCGTATAAAAAGATGTATAAAAAGATACACGCGCGTGTAAGACGGAATGGGGGAAGAGGGAAACGTATAAAAGTTTGATTCTCGTGTATAAAACTGCTCTGCAGGGTCGTGGCGGACACCGTGCGACATCGTGGTAATAAAGACTAGGTTTCATTCCGAGCGGACATCGTAACGTTCGAGGTTCTCGAGGTCGATCGGGTTGTAACCATATTTCAAAGGTTCGAGTGGCTATTTGCAGTTCGAAGGAGGGACAGGAAAAAGGCTGGTAGATACTTTGATGGAAAGAAGAAAAAAGAAAAAAAGAAGGGAAGAACGCGTCATTGGCATTCTAGCGGCCATTAAATTGGCCAAAAATAGGCCATTTCGCATCACCGTTCTGGCGTGTGAATGACATCATTGCCTCTTTACGACCAACTTCCGGAATCCTTCCTTGTTTGGCCTCGTTCGCCTCGTAGGAAGTTAGGTAACTACACGTTACGGGTGCATAGGAAAAAATGAATCTTAATGCGTACAGGAAGCGAAGGTGATTGCTATTCCGGTGAACGGTTAATTATCCTAGAATAAATCGTACCGTTAGAACCATCTAGCGTGCTCTCTGCTAACGGTTAAAATATATGTACAGGATGATTCGTAACTTTTAGCTCAAATAATACTTATTTACAATTTTGAAAGTTAATTCTATTTTCAAATCATTCGTCGAGGACCCGTTTTCAACATTTTTTTAAAATGAAATTTAGGCCTAAACAGAATTTAAAATTTTCACAACGCAAATAATTAATCATATTAATTTTACATATGCGGATTAATAATTTGTGACATTATGACGTATAATAACTTAATATTTTTTGCTATAGAATATTTACTATAAATGAACGATGAAATTCCTGTGCGTGACGAATGATTCTGGATTCTTTGACAAAAATAGGAGAAGAGATAGAACAACGCATAACGGCAAGAAATAGACATTAATACTCTAAAACTCTAAAACTTACGGAATTCTTGTTTTTTTCTTAATAGTTCCATATAAATTCCATTCTATATTCCATCGAGAAAAATTACCTCAGAGTCTCGATCACAAATTTTCTCAAGATTCACAGCAAGCTGGACAAAAGACCAAAGAAGTGAAGCAAGTAAAAGGGCGTTCAATGGATAGTCTAAATTAGGCAGAAATAGGGCATTGAAAGAAATCGGGCGTGCGTTATGCACCGAGAGAGAGAGAGAGAGAGAGAGAACAGCGTCACACTGATAATCTCCGACACGATGGATGCGCACAGCTCCCTCCTTCCCCTTTTGTGCCCGCGTAAGCACAAGTTGGCCGTGGATCCGCGCCACGATCGAGCCTCCTACCGCGGAAGAAATATGCATCCACCGCAGAAACGCGGCTCGAAGATTTACAAGTTCGCCCGAGTTCCCTCCGTTCGGACATTGTCTCTCTTTCTCTCTCTCTCTCTCTCTCTCGTTGCTTTATAACGCTCGTAGCGGTAAAAAATGAAATACGACGGGAGAAAAATGGTCGCAGGGGATTGGCCCTGCCACGATACCATCCCCGTCTACGAAGAAGGTAGAAGGTTTCGCGTGACAACGCGTGAAATTTTGTTTAAATCCAATTTAAAAACGTTTCTTAAGCGTTTTCCTAATCCTTTTGAACCAAAAATTCTCCTTTTAAGTCAATCGAGGATCGATTCCTCGAGTTCGAAAATTAATTCGCCAATCCATGAATTCCATCACAGAAAAATTCTCACGGTTCGAAAACGAACGATAAAGATAAATAATCGTGCATGGATCGGGACGGTGGAATGAAAAACCCGAGAATCTGGCAAAGAGGCAGCGACAACTAATTTCACGTGCGCCACGGGAGCCAGAAAGGCATGGGCGATCGATGATGCGACGATCGATGAACTCCGGCTCCGTGGTAGGATCGGCACCGTGCCAAGACGATTTTGGATCGCACACAGGCCCGTATTCAGGATCCACCGTGTCGTATATTTTTATCGAGGCAAGCCTCTCGAAAGGTCCGCGCAGGTCGTGACAATGCCGACCCTGTCCTGCTCCCCTTTTCCAACCGGTTATCGTACAATCATTATCGCTCGCTCTCGAGCAGGGTATCCCTTGTAATTCGTCGTGTCGTGTTACGTCACACGTTTTTTCTTCCCTTCCCCTCTATCTCCATTCGTCAAAATTTCCCTTAGAAGTTTGACTTAATAGGAGACGAATTTTTTTCTTTCTTCTTCTTCTTCTTTTCTTTTTTTTTTTTTTTTGCCACGCATCGCGTAAAATACAGGCTACTTTTTATTATACTTTTACTTTTTATACAAGGGTCGGTCGATCGGCCTCGCGTGGATAATTTGTTTGCCGGTTCTAGAGCGACGTCTGTTTGCACAACCGAGTCCCTGTGCGTTCTTTTTTTCGGTTTATCGTAATAGCCGGCCATTATCGTGGCCCACAAGCGTGGTAATCTCAAGTGTTACCTACTCTCTCGTTCTCGAGATCTCGGTTCTTTGTGGGTGGTACACCGCTCTTCCTCCTCTTCTCTCGGTTTGACGGCGAACGGCCTGATGTCCTCGCACGCCGCGCCTTGCACTGGCGATCCTGGCCCTCGCGTGTACGCGTGTACTTCCTCGTGCGATAAACCTTGCAATTCTATTGAGCGCATCGAGAAATCGTTCGACGACATCTCTCGGTTAGTTTATTTATTGTAAAACGCGGTAACAAATTTAGCGATGGAGAATGGAGAATGTCCGGTTTTGGTCGGTCTAGTTGGATATTATTTTTATCCTCCTTGGTTCATTTTCCCTTTGAGATCCATGATTGTTACGTCAATCGTATGTTGCATAATTGGTATCAATCGTTGCGAATCGCGGGCCCGTTACGTGTCTATAATTAATTTGATGGTCGATAAATAATTATCGAAGATTAAAAATTCGCAAACATTTATTATTACGTACGTTTCGAATTCATCAAATTTGAAGAAATATTATTTTTTTAAAATTATATTATTTTTCTTTTATTATTATTATTATAAACATTTGCAAATTATTTCTCCCTTTAATAATAAATTTATCGAACAAATTATTTATAAAAGAGTAATGAATTCACAATTTTGCCCGATACCGAACGCGTATTTATAATCCGTATACTTATTGTCTATTTTTGAATGGGCACGAATCGTTCAACTCATCATTGTTGAACGTAACAATTCCATCGTGCTCGAGTGCTATCAAAACTACGCTAAAAAATAAAAAATAAAAAAAATGAATCACAATTTTCGAAAAAATTTAATCGAAACGATGATATTCGATTATACGTCCATTAATAAATTTGTCGGCTCGGATCGGTTCGTCCGAGAAAGACACTTCTCCCGTCTGTCTCACTCGCGTTTAAAACAACAATGTCGAATTATCGCGAATTGGCTCGAACGGTTGCGACGATGGCGCATCGGGTCGAGCAGGAAATAGCATCGCAGCCGAGGGGGAGAGAGAGTGGCGAGGATGGAACGAGCGTGTATCGCTTTGACGGGACGAGGATAGACCGATACGCGGGGAGATGGAAGCCGAACACGGCTCTGATTAGCATACAAACTATGCGTGGTCGTGTTGGTTCTCCGCGTTTGCCCGAAACGATTCCCCTCTTTCTCTCTTCCCCTCTCTCTCTCTCTCTCTCTCTCTCTCTCTCTTTCTCTCTCTCTCTCTCTCTCTCTCTCCATAGACTACGCTTCTACAACTCGTGCGAGTTGTTCGAGATCGTGATTAAAAAGATACGCGCGATTTCGATCTTCGTGGGCGAATTTTCCCTTTCACGTCGTGGAAAGGGAAAACGTTGTAACCGTTTCACGCCTGGTAGAAGAGGTTCTGTCGATCGATGTCATTTAACTTGATTTAACTTGAAAAGAAACGGAAACGCTCACGCTTGTTGGTTAATATTATTTTATTGGAAAAAAAGAATCCGAATATCCTTCGTTTGTTATGTTAATGGATAAAACATATTTCTCCTCGGTAATCCGAGAATGGCTGCTATCCAGGCACCATCACTACGACGACTACGACTCGGTTTCCATTTCCCCTCTAGATTCACCTTTCCTCCGATAAATATTCCATATTCCACAGTCGGTGGATCGATAGCAAAAATTTTCTCAATAATAGACTGCACGACTGAACGTAGGAGCATCACGTATACTAATAATAGAAGAAGAAACGAGTTTGTTACCGGACACACCGATCCCCGATAATTTCCATTCTAGCGCGATGTCGTTGACCGAACCTCAACCCCCCTTGTCCCTACCTATTATTCTTGTATCGGCCTTGTCTCACGCGGAAACGCCATACCACGGATGATCGTTCGAGGATCGTATCCGATAACCGGGAGCGGGCTCCCTTTTTCTCCCGTTTATTTTCCTTATCCCGGAAAAGAGGAACGGCTCGGTGGAGCGAGCATTAAAATCTGAAAGAAATGCCTCCGTCGAGGCATGGCGAGCAGGCGGGGAGGAGGTCCGGGAGGGGAGGGGGCGGAGATCCCGCGGCCTTTATTTAACCGTCACATTCCCCACGATGCTCCCGGCAATACCTCTTCGCCTAATCTAACCTATATTTTTCACCGTTTCGCCCGACTATCGAGCCCCCCTCCCTCTCCTCCCCCTTTTGCTCACCTTTTCTGCGGTAACTATCCCTTACGGGATACGGGATAGAACCGCGTCTAGACGGAAGCTATCCTCGAAAAACGCCTCCATTCCGCGAAAATGTTCCGACGTTGCGTTCAACGACCGCCAAATCTCTTCTACCCGGAGAAGAGAAACGCTTCGTTTCGTTTCAGTGTTGAAAAAAAAAATAAAAAAATAAATTGATTCTCGTAATTTTCAAGAAGGAGAACAACACTTGAGTCTTTAACACTTGAGCTTAACTTTAATTTCACCCTCTCTCTCGTT